TTATAAAGAGATATAGATGAAAGAGTTTATACATACATTATAATAAAAAGAATTTTTTTTTTATATATATATATATATATATATATATATATCAGTGCTGCCTTTCAGTGTAAATGGTAAATAAACAAGAGAGGTTCCCAACCAGTGGGGCAAGGACCAGTTCTGGGACATGTGTCTTTTGGTACGGACGCAAAAGAAAAACTAATAACATTTGTGGAACTGTATTGATTATCAACATTTATTAATTATTTTCCATGAGAGTTTAAGGCACTTTGTCAAAATAAAATTCTTGTTTCTTTATTGCAAATTTTCTCATTTTATTTTCTCACTGTTCTTTTTTTTGTTTGCTGCAGTTTGACGACGGTGCCTGAGGATTTTGTCTTGTATAAAAACTGGTCTGAGGATCAGAGAGCAGCGTCTTCTGACTCCAGCATGAAGCAAATGGCGCCATCTACATGACAGCACAGGGAGTGGAGAACACGGGTGGTTTTCCGCACATCCATTTACGGTTAATAAGAAGATGACAGACCAAAGACGTTAGAAGACGGGGACATGTTGGACAGAGGACCGACGTCTCCGTCTCTGTCTCCAGGTCTGAGACCAAGTTCACTTCATCAAAATCAGGTTTTTTCCTTCATTTGCGACATTCTCAAAATGTGATATAATTATTAGAAATGCAAACGTTCTTGAATTTAACTAATCTGATGTTGTGTGGGAATAAAATTCTTTGCAGTGATTTCCCACCATGCACCACCAGGAGTCAGTAAAAAAACAAACAAACAAAAAAAAACCAAATGATTGTCTGCAACATGAATGAAGCACGAGGGAGGCTCTGTCATAGTTTGGGGCTGCTTTTTGAATCTACAACACAATCAAAAAATTCTTTGACCAAAACGGTGATCCCAAAACACAGGGTCGTGGGCAGGAAACAGCCCAGCAGAGGGCACCATTTCTGGTAAAAAACATCTAACAATCAGCTTCGGAATTTTAGTCAAGATTTTTTTTTTTTTAAAACATTTTCCAGAAGATTAGATTAGATTTAGAATCTGGAGAATATTTTCTCACGTCACACGTTTGCTTGTTTCCTTTGACGGAGTTCGTGCAGCGTCGTCTGTTTCTGGATGATACAAATACAACGAATCAAAGTGCAACAAAAATTCTCCTGGTAACATGGAGACGTGTTGTCGAGAAAACGTCAGATTAGTAAACATCTTGATAAAGTATACGCAACAACAAACAAACAAACAAACAAACAAACAAACAAACAAACACGCCTCCTCTGATTCTCCCAGCGCTGTGTGTATTACTGTAGTATTTTACAAAAACTTCATATAGAGATTCTTCAGTTAGTTAGTTCTGGATTAGAATCCTTCAGAACGACGTTCCGTCTTTCCTTCGACAACAATAGTACAAACCTTAAACCCACGTTCCCGAAAACGACAATTATTAAATACAAAATAATTATTACGAAAATATACATTTATAAACTCTTCATGAAAAAAAATCTTTGGCTCCTTGGTGTTAAAAATATATCTGCATCCTTTTTTGTTTATCTGAGTCACTATTTTTAGTCTTGTTTTTACTGCTGCTGTTCAGAACAGTGTAATGTTATAGCTCCCTCTAGTGTTGAACAGCGGGAGAATTCGGATTCATCCGTCTGTCTGACAGAAACTCCAAATAAAACCCTGATTGAACTGATGTGATGATAATCCACTCTGAAGTGTTTACAGCAGTTTTTCTGAATTTAATCCTAAAAATCCTGAGTATTGAAAAAAAAATCCAAACATTCTGACAAACAAAATAAACCAAAAAACCAAACAACAAAATTATATTTCTCTCTATTTCCGACTTCCTGTGAATCAATATCTAACACTAAGGATTTTTTATAACAATCCATGTTGTGAGAAAAAGGCAGCATTTTGACTGAAGAGTCGACAACGTCATTATTTGGTTTTTATCTTCAGAAGATTTAGAATTTTCTAGATCTTAGAAACAAAAAGTCAAAATCATATATTTAAGCTAAGAATTATACAAGACATTTTTGACTCAAAATAAAGTGAGAATTGTGTTTTTTTTTATCTGAAAATACATTGATGTAAAAAAACAAAAACAAAAAAAACGACCCAAACGTTCTTCATAATAACAGTGTTTCGTCAGAGCCAAAGAAAATTAGAATCTCTCTGTGTCTAATTATCTACGTCAAAATACAAAGTGCTCCAGAAAAACTCAAACATAATTAAGACTAAACGTCAGACTTCATTTACACCGACGGCAAAGACGACAAACCGTCACGAGAAAAACAGCAGCTTCTTCTCACGGAAACAGTGACAGAGTTTCTCTACATCTTCAGTCATCTTTAGAAGCTAACTCACCGCTCGCACGCCCGCCTTTTTTGATTTTTCAAATAAAAAAAGTAAACTCCAACATGAACCTGACGCGGCGTTTTTATCCCACGCAGTCGTTCAAACGTTCCTGCTCCAGCGCCGCAGCATCGTTGAGATTACAGTCGATAATCTCAGGTGACTGCAGCTCAGATTATCACCTGTGTATTCTTCACATCAACCCGTACAACTGAGACGGAACTGAGATAATACTCAGATTGTGCAGCTCCAAACTCGTCGTGTTACATCGCTTCTTTGCGACGCAACACATCTACTCTCGCACGATACGTGTGTTGCGTTAAGTTCCCGTTAGCAGTTTTTAGCTCTTATAAGAAAGTGCGGTTGCGGCGCACGGGTTACGACGTCAGGAGCGCGAACAGCCTGGAGTCGACGTCAGCTAATAAAGAGTTTGGTGTTACTTTTGGAGTGTTCTGATAGAAACATATGGACTAGACCAGGGCTGTCAAACTCACTGTGGCCCGATTGGACGTGTGCCGGGTCGGACCAGTACAGCGGTAAAATAATCATCTTAAATAACAATAAGTCCATGTTTAATCCCATTTTGTTTTTCTGAAAATAGTAAAGTACGAGTATATTAGAACGAAGTCACATGGGATGAAATATATTTGGAGAAACCGTCACAAACATGAAGCTTTGGTGCATTTTTTTTCCCCCACTATAAAAAAAAATCATCAAGTGGCCCTCAAACATGAAGCTTTGGTGCATTTTTTTCCCCCGCTATAAAAAAACCATCAAGTGGCCCTGATGGAACACTCTAGCGGGCCAGTTTTGGACCGCGGGCCGTATGTTTGACACCCCTGGACTAGACTGTGAAGCCCTCTGCGAACAGAAGTGACCGTCAAAGCTACGTCTGGAATCATTCCTAGTGTAAACAGGTGGGGGTGCTACAGGTAGGTGTCGTGCTCGGTGCTGCTCACGCTCTCCCTGGACACTTCTAAGGTGCTGTGTTTGAGCAGAGGTGAAGGGTCACCGGGGGAGGGGCCGTCCACCGTCTCCACCGCCGGGGCCTTTGTCTCCGCCTGCTCTTCCTGTCTGACATTTCTACTTCCCTTTGCGTCGTCCGCGGTCTTGGACGCCAGCGGAGACTCCACGATGATGGTGGGCAGCTGTCTCAGGTGCTGACGGTTGGGCGGCTCCGCGGCGATGATGGCCTTGGCGCCGTGCATCCTGGGAGGGGATACGCAGTGGAGGTCTCCTTTGGTCTCCTTCCAGCGGCGCAGCTGAGCGTGGTGTTCCTTTTCGATGTCCTTCTCAGACACTGAAAGGTCGATGATCTGAGGACGGAAAAAAAATGATCCAAATATCTGGGTGTGACATTAACTTCCTGTTTTTTTATTTCCCGATATTAGCATAGTTATATAATACGTTAGAATTGTTATCGGGTTTTCATTATCGGAGGATAACAATTCTTACAGATATTACAATTGCAAAGCCTGGGTTTCAGCCAAATGATGTCCGACCTAAAAATAGTTTTGGGGGAAATACGGCTGTATATGAAAGTGAAAGCCACTAGATGGCAGCATTGCAGCTCATTCTATTAATCTATTTTAATAATCTGCAGAATGCTGCCTCCTTAACCACCAGGCCACCACTGCCCCACTATATCGGTATTAGTTGATATCGGAATCGGAAAGTTTGGATAATATCGCCACATCAGACAAATCCTTGCGTAAAACATTAGGACTGTCAAGATGAACGCATTAACTGTAAATTAATATGTGAAATTATGAAAAAAAAAATTTAAATAAAAAATGTCGATACACATTTAAAGAACTGACCTAAACCATGAGGTGGATCACTCACCTCTCGGATCAGGAACTTCTCCTGCATGTACTGAGGCTTTATGGCTCGCAGCAGCTCCATGGTTTCATACAGACCCTGGCAGGACTTCAGTTTCTCCTGGGATCCCAGCATGCTTTTCAGCAGAACCAGGCCCACCCTGAACACAATCTTCACTCCTGGCAGAACAGGGCAGTGGAAGGTTAGATATTTAAGAGCCTCAATCGTCTATTCTAGACTGTAGAGTCAGAAGACAAAGATGTACGGACAAAAAAGTCAAAACCTGGACTGTTTTTTTTTTCTTTTAGACTCAGAACCAGGGGCAAAAAGTACTAAACAAACACGACAAGGAGAACCTCTGGGACAGGTGTTCTATCTTATTTCCACAGTGCTGACGTCAGAGTGGGCGTGGCCTCACCCTCGCAGAGGAACATGTCCCAGACTCGCAGCACCGAAGCCCAGGGCAGAGTGCGGGAGAAGGCGCACATGAACCACTCCGTCATGTACAGGATGGGCTCCAGCTTGTGCTTCTTCATGTGACTGTGAGCCACGGGAGAAACCTTCTTCAGCAGAGCGTGCAGGATCTCCCCGTCCAGCTGGATCGCCTCCTGTTGACACAAGATGGGAATGACAGGCAGGGTCAACAAAGAAGCAGCAGCAGCAGCAGCACACATTCCTCTCTCTCTCTCTCTCTCTCTCTCTCTCTGCCTGATCTGATTATGAAGAAATCCGCCGGGGCCTTTGTCTCCGTCTGCTCTTCCTGTCTGACATTTCTACTTCCCTTTGCGTCGTCCGCGGTCTTGGACGCCAGCGGAGACTCCACGATGATGGTGGGCAGCTGTCTCAGGTGCTGACGGTTGGGCGGCTCCGCGGCGATGATGGCCTTGGCGCCGTGCATCCTGGGAGGGGATACGCAGTGGAGGTCTCCTTTGGTCTCCTTCCAGCGGCGCAGCTGAGCGTGGTGTTCCTTTTCGATGTCCTTCTCAGACACTGAAAGGTCGATGATCTGAGGACGGAAAAAAAATGATCCAAATATCTGGGTGTGACATTAACTTCCTGTTTTTTTATTTCCCGATATTAGCATAGTTATATAATACGTTAGAATTGTTATCGGGTTTTCATTATCGGAGGATAACGATTCTTACAGATATTACAATTGCAAAGCCTGGGTTTCGGCCAAATGATGTGCGACCTAAAAATAGTTTTGGGGGAAATACGGCTGTATATGAAAGTGAAAGCCACTAGATGGCAGCATTGCAGCTCATTCTATTAATCTATTTTAATAATCTGCAGAATGCTGCCTCCTTAACCACCAGGCCACCACTGCCCGGCTATATCGGTATTAGTTGATATCGGAATCAGAAAGTTTGGATAATATCGCCACATCGGCAAATCAGACAAATCCTTGCGTAAAACATTAGGACTGTCAAGATGAACGCATTAACTGTAAATTAATATGTGAAATTATGAAAAAAAAAATTTAAATAAAAAATGTCGATACACATTTAAAGAACTGACCTAAACCATGAGGTGGATCACTCACCTCTCGGATCAGGAACTTCTCCTGCATGTACTGAGGCTTTATGGCTCGCAGCAGCTCCATGGTTTCATACAGACCCTGGCAGGACTTCAGTTTCTCCTGGGATCCCAGCATGCTTTTCAGCAGAACCAGGCCCACCCTGAACACAATCTTCACTCCTGGCAGAACAGGGCAGTGGAAGGTTAGATTTTTAAGAGCCTCAATCGTCTATTCTAGACTGTAGAGTCAGAAGACAAAGATGTACGGACAAAAAAGTCAAAACCTGGACTGTTTTTTTTTTCTTTTAGACTCAGAACCAGGGGCAAAAAGTACTAAACAAACACGACAAGGAGAACCTCTGGGACAGGTGTTCTATCTTATTTCCACAGTGCTGACGTCAGAGTGGGCGTGGCCTCACCCTCGCAGAGGAACATGTCCCAGACTCGCAGCACCGAAGCCCAGGGCAGAGTGCGGGAGAAGGCGCACATGAACCACTCCGTCATGTACAGGATGGGCTCCAGCTTGTGCTTCTTCATGTGACTGTGAGCCACGGGAGAAACCTTCTTCAGCAGAGCGTGCAGGATCTCCCCGTCCAGCTGGATCGCCTCCTGTTGACACAAGATGGGAATGACAGGCAGGGTCAACAAAGAAGCAGCAGCAGCAGCAGCACACATTCCTCTCTCTCTCTCTCTCTCTCTCTCTGCCTGATCTGATTATGAAGTAATGACATTCCACTCAACACCTCCTGCCACAAACACACTAAGAACGCTGACTCAGCAGTGAGTCTGAGGTGAGGCCGTCATCGTATCAATGAAACTGGTGAAAGCTGAACCAATGGAGGAAGTTAAACTTTGACCTGGGTGAATATATATACATACATATATACAGTACATACATATAAATATAAAAATAATTTAATAATATATATTATTACATAATAATATATATGATATACAAATATATACATATACAGTACATATTAAAATATTTAATATAATTTATAATATACATTATTGTTACTGTATAATAATATATATTATACAGATATATACACATATATACATACATGTAAATTATATAAATAATTTAATATATATTATTACATAATATATATGTTATACATATATATACACATTTCATATTAACATATTTATATAATTTATAATATACACATTATTGCTACTGTATAATAATATATATATATTATACAGATATATACATACATGTAAATTATCTAAATAATTTAATAGATTATTATATAATAATATAAATTATACAAATATATAAATATATATTTGCATAATTTATATTTGTAAATACATATTTACAAATATATGCAAGTATAAATGTGTAAATATACACATACACACGTATATATATATATCTGCAAAGTGTTATATGTTAGAAGATTTGTTATTGTGTTATTTGTAATGTGTGTGAAAATGCGTGTATAGTAACATACCAGCCCAGTACTGTAGTATCCTGGAAGGTATTTTTCACATATTTGGACAAGAACCCAGAAAGCGTCCTAGAAATGAAAAAAAAAAAACAGACGTTGACTTCAGGTTTGGATGAAAGAGAAACTGAACTTTTGGGTCCAGTGAAAAATAATTTCTCTTTTTTTTTTTTTTTTTGTGAAAACCAAATAACTTCAAACGTTGAGGTCATAAAAGTTACGACCTCATATATAATTAAAGTTACAAAACTGCCTCGAAAACCACAAGGATTTAGTGTCTTCAAAGATCTTAAAAAGTTAGAAAATAGTTTGGGTTTTTTTTCTATTATGACGTCTTAATTTCTTTCTTTAATTTCTGCTGCCTAATCCTGTTTAGAGTTGTGGGAGGAGATGAGAAGCTGCTGCCTCCTCCTCCTCCTCCTCCTCCTCCGTGTCGTCACCTCAGCCGGCATGTGCATCAGGAGAACAGCAGCGATGGGGGCCTGAGCCTGACAGTAACCTTCTTCTGGACGATGAAGAGTGTAGGCCTTCAGGACACGGAGCAGGTCCTGCTGCCTGTAGGTGTCAGAGTAGAGTCATCACTGACCACATGTGATTTCCTGTGAGGATCAGACTTCAGGCGACACAACAGAACGCGGCGTTTACCCGTGACCTCCCCTCGCTGAAAACATCTCGTGGAAGGGAAACTGACGATGAAGATCTCGCTCGATGATATCCACCCATTTTGGACTTCCTGGCTGGTCGTCCAGCTCCTGGAATATTAGATTGGAATTACAGGATTAAATTTGTAGTTTGTTAATAACGATGAGTTGTAGTTTATCTACTGGTAAATAATAATAATTTTTAAAAAACAGAATAAATCTTTTACAGTCTGATGGTTGAGATTTTATTCTCACAAACTTGAACAGAAAAATGTGACATTAAAGGATTGTTGGTTCAGGTTGTGTTTAATAATTTTGACATTTCTACAAAATATTATGGACAAAACGGCCATAATATTTTGTCCTTTATATATATACAAATATATATATATATATATACAAATATATTTGTACATTTTTGTAGTACTTATTTTTTATTTAAGAACATTTACTCAAAACTAAGGTTGATTATCAATGACAACATACTGTACGTCAGTAGATTTGCCAACATACGGCCCTAGTGACTTTTTTCACCTACATTTCTTTTTCATGTTAGTGCAAGTTTAAAAAAAATTAAAAAATATTAAATAAAAATAAAAAATAAATGTAGAACGTGAACAGGAAATTATACGTTCATTTTGTTTATGACGATAAAAATAGATATCTCATGGTAAAAGAATACATGGTGATAAATTCACGGTAAAATCACGTTTTTTTTCAGCTGACCTGAAATCTGCCTCTGTTCTGCTCTCGTTTCACCTTGGCTCCAGTCAGGTAGAGCCACGCTCGACCACGCAGCGACGGTGGAATCCCCTTCTGACAGCGCTCTTTCACCTGTTCATCAACAGGAACATATTTACACAAGGCAACGCAACAGAGCAACAGAGCAACAGAGCAACAGAGCAACAGAGCAACAGAGCAACAGAGCAACAGAGCAACAGAGCAACAGAGCAACAGAGCAACAGGTGAAGTAAAGGATGAGACTCAAGTTACACTTTTTCCACTTTAAACTCAAAAAAGAAAAAAAAAAAGACAACGTCCAGAGTCAAGGAGACAGAGAGTCACCACTGCTGACCTTCTTGTGTTTCTTGGCCATCCATTTGTCCCAGTTGTTGAGCATCTCCAGCCATTTGGCCTCTCGTAGTCTCAGAACATCAATCGGAGTTTCCTCCGTGCTGCGGCCGCAGAAACAGAGACAGAGAGAAAGTTCGGATCAGAGACAAAAGTCCTTTTATAGAAGTTGACACAACTTTCACTTCCTTGTGTTTATCACAGGGAAGTCCCTGTCAAAGGATGAGGTGTGTGTGTGTGTGTGTGTGTGTGTGTGTCATCTCTTCCTCGTACACAGGAACCCTGTCCTGCAGCTCTTCACCATCAGCAGCGCAGGAAAACAGGAAGCATTAGGAAGATCTTTAGCCCAGTTTCAATCAGTTTCCCACTAACTTTTACACAACAACACACACACACACACACACACACACACACCGACGTCTCCATTGTTGTCAAGCTCTGATCATTAGCCTCATTTTCAAAAAAATTGTTACTTTGTAAAAATACATTACAAACTGAAATAATGTGTCTTGGAAATTGACATAACACACTTCAAATAAGAGAGAAAAATGTTGGTCTTACACTTTAAAAAATGAAGACAAATGTGTCAACGTGAGGTACATAATAAAGTCTACTGAGGGATCAAACAATAATATGTCAGGAATTTAAAGGAATCATCTGACAGTTTTAGACCTGCAGACATTTAATTAGGAGAAAAAAGAAAAAAACATTTAATTAATAAAATGTTGACTATTTGAAATTTTCAAATTCAAATTTCCACACTGAATGTGAACAAGAAAATTCATTTTTTAAAAAAATGCATGAAACCCAGATGTGAACCTCATCTCCAGTGTTGATATTCTGGATCAAACCATTTTGGCATCTCAAATTTCTGGCGACCTCTGAGACATTTCTTTCTTCTTTTTTTTTTTTTCAGTCACGTGATCAATCATCTCCATCAACTCAGATATTTTTATGTTTCATTTTATTTGAGCTTCAGTTGTATTCATGAAAGCGACAGAAGCCAATAATTAAATTAATTTTAATAAGAATAATAATTAGCTGAAAAATATTCAAATCAGTAATTCTTTACTCTTAGACATTTCTGGCAAACCCCATTTAAATTATGAACGACTCCACGTGGGGTCGCGACCCCAAGGTTGAAAAACACTAGGTTAAACATTATGAACTTCCCTGTTTCCTGTATGGTTTTTTTTTTTAAATAAAACATATAAAACATTAACAAGTCAACTCTGCACTTTTCATGTGTTTTCTACTCATAAACATCACATGAACATGTGACCGGGACATAACCACCGTCTTTGTCCACAGCAGTTGAACATGTGCACTTTGGACAAGAGACACAAGGTTTAATTACATACAATTTTAAGAGACTTTCTGTGTTAAATACGACTTTTGTAACTGTTTACTTCAGACAGAATATTCAAAATCCAAACACACACATTCATTTATATTTTTAACTTTTAGAACTTGGTATATAGTGTAAATTATTTACTTAAAAAATACCGTTTTGATTCATGCATTTGAAAACCCAACAATCTCACATCAAATATTGGTATATAGTGTAAATTATTTACTTACAGAAATCTCACATCAAATGATGTGAGATTTCTGCACTTTCTCTGCCGAAGAGAAAACACCACTATACACTTCTAGTGAATCACTGAAATGACTCGAGAGATTAGTTGTTGTTGTTGTTTTTTAAAGCAGTATAAACTACTACAGTAGATTGTGATAGTATTGTAATACTCGTACTCACGGGTCAGTGGGAGACTGCTGAGCTCCACCGGTGAACCCGTACTTGTCCACCCGCTCCTCCGGCGGGATGGCGTTACCGTTTACCTCTGCCCCGGATCCGTACCAGCCGCCCTTCCCCTTATCTGTCAGCTTGTCTCTGCTTCCCCGAAAGTCCAAGCCATTTCTATGCTTGTTTTTTGCCATTTAATCAACATTTACCCGACAGAGGGTCTTCACAACCTCTGGTCCGACCGTACAACTGCGCTGACACTTCTTTTAAATCCCTCCATGAAGACGCTCTGAGCGGAGCTTAAGTTAGCCACGGCTGCTACATCAGACGAGCTACTTCCTGTTCAACCGTTAGCCTGCTAACACCCGCTACCTACGAGCAAGCTACTATAAAAACCGCGCTTTATTAGTTGTTAACGTCACTTTTAAACGGTTTCCGTAGAGGCGGCACACTGTTACGTCGCCAGCCGACTGCTCTACGAGTTACTTTGTCACTATTTAGCTCATTTACTCCGGAGCTAACGTGTTAGCATCACACAAGCGTCAGCTGACACAGGGAATGTGTTGTAGGAATGTTCTGTATGTCCGAGTTTAACACAAGGTGGAGCAGATCAGTAAACAAAACATCCACCGCACCACGATGTTCTACAGCGCCCTCTACTGTGGAAAAAAAAATAAACACAGTACAGAAAAAACAAACTCAGTACGCAAACTTGTGTTTTGAATTGTTTTGGATATTTCACTGTAGACGCGTTCTCAAAATGTCAACGGGGAAAGAAAAAATGAGTAAAATTAATTCTGACAAACAAAAACACTATTTACGTTATCTACTGTTTTCATCAGAAAACACCTTCTCTGTGGATTTATATATTTAAAGATGCATTTTGTATGTGTTCAAGTAAGATAAAAAGCGAAAAAGTCACCGGTCTCAGAGAAGCTAGGTTAGCCGCGAGTAAATTAAAAACTCGGTAATATTTAACCTAAACAACTTCGATAGAAACTGAGAACTTCTCTATTAAAGAAAGATGGAGAACACAATAAATAAAGATTAACATGCGCCACAGGCTAGCTAAATCAAGTAAGTCAGGAATAAGTGTACAAGGACGTAAACACAGAAAAGCTACAAGTTAGCTTACAAAAATATGGGCTCAAATTGACTAAGTACAGTTGTATTAGAGAAAAGTAGCAGAATAATACATGAGAAGGATGCGGGCAAACAATAGCCAAAAGTTAGCGAAAATGTCCCTCTGTGGAACTTCGGTTAGCAAAAAAAAAAAAAAAAATTCAAAGCTAAAAGGCAAATTTTCTGTTTGTGAAAAAGATTCGATTTATCAAGACAGTAACCATAAACATAAAAAATCAATTTAAAAACATACTTTGGAAACTCGTTTTTTAACAGGGGGTTTAATATGAGGATCAAATATCTGGTTTCTGTTTGAACACAACAAGTCAATTAACTACAGTGTGGTTCATGGAAACACATGGCGACCGCTGGGTGGGTCAACATTTGTCCTTTGTTGTTGTGAACCGAAACTCAAACGCAACAGAAAGCCAGGAAACAAACAGGTATAGTATAAATACTAGATTCTTTATTTAAATATTGTACATATTTCAAAACATATTTACATAAATGAGACCTGTTTTGTTACACAGTTTACACCGACACGGACCTTTCGCACAACAATCATACGACACGGACTGCAGAAGCACCTTTGAGGACGTCTTTAAAGGTGTAAAAAATATCATTCAAATGCAGCTTTTACATCAAACACGAGACAAAGTGAAGGAGACGACACAAGCTTGCGATGACAGGAAAGGCCTCGGTTACAGGTCTATCTATTTGTTAAGGCTGAGACTTTGCTCACTCGCACAGCACCATTAACACTATTCTCTGTCGGAATAGAGATCACGTCTCTCTGACATTATAGCTCTGTCCTTTATATGTGAAAACAAAACCATTTGTACATTAACTCCCCATGAAGACAATGGATTCAAAAAAAAAAAGAAATTCACCAAACTGAGCAGACAGGTTGTTTTCCAGTAATTCAGAACGTCTCATTTAGATGTACGTCAATGTGAAAGGTTTGAATGGAAAATCATGAAAAAAATTTCCACCACACAAAAATACCACAGTGACAATCCTGCTCTGTGACATCACAAGATTTTCTTTACAGGAACAAAGAGAGAGAGAGTTGTTTTTACAATGTATTCATATATGGCTTTCTTTCTTTGGTTTACAAAAAAAAAAAACCACCTCCACACAGAACTTTAAGTGGGACATTTGTCCTTTGAACATGAGACGCACAGGGAGAAAAATGAAAAACTCTTTAAATGTTTCTCTGGACGTTTCCCTTCGACTTCTCATCGCGGAGCCTGCGTGTTTTTACAGCACTGCTCAAAGTGAGAGTCAGACAAACCGAACATGAAGGCTGATGGACACAGGTGTCCGTGAGCAGGGCAGTGTTATCACTGTGTCTGACTGATGGAACTGAATGGAAGCAGCAGTTCAGTGGTGACGAGCAAGGGTGAATAACCTGCGTCAACACAGACGTCACAGTCACAAACAAACAAACGAGGGACAAAAACAGGGAAGAATGAAAAAAAAAAAAGAAAAAAGAAAAAGTCATCCATCCATCTCTTAACTCCAAACACTTTAAAAACAACATAAAAAAAATACACATTATTTCCCTTTAATTCATGTCTGACCTATTGTTGCGATCACAACTGACACTGATACTGTGTGGAACAGCGCCTCCTACAGAATTTGTTGATTACTGACAACAATTGGAGCCAATGTCAGGAGTCATTATGGGTGTCGGGGGTTGAGGGGTGTTGAAAGGTACTAGACCAGGGGTGTCAAACTAAGTTAATCAATTACATGTCAAGGTGACGGGACCAGAACAATCATAATACAATTACCTTTAAATGACAATAAGTCCATGTTTCCCCCCTTTGTTTCCATGCAAAGAAGTACGAGGATATCAGATAAAGATGATCAAACGTGACTAAAATTATCTTTTCAATTAACTGCAACTAAATTTAATTTTACAAAACATGAAGTGCACCTTTGTTTTAATTAATTTTCAAAATTCCAGATTGAAACCCCAAGTGGGCCGGATTTGGCCCGCAGGCCACATGTTTGACACCCCTGCCCTAAACAATGGCCAATAAGTCCATCACAGGAGGCAAACATTTGGCCCACAGTTAAGTTCCAGAAAGAAAAAAAAAAACAACCAACAAAAACCAGTCAGCACATCCACGGTACCCGTAGTGACTTAAAACACACACACACTCTCTCTCTCTCTCTCTCTCACACACACACGATTGCATACTTGTTGATCTCACTACCACGCACTCGCAGCGATTACATCAGCATATTTGTTGTTCGTCATTTCAGCGGAAGAGTGGGATCGACGAAGGTCAAAAGGTCAAAAATAAACACCTGTACAAACATATGTTACTGAATGCATGTGAACTAGGGATGTCGGATGATATCGACCGACCGATATTAGTAGAATTATGTAACGGGTTTTGCTGCCCGGGTGTTGCCAAATCATATTTGTGCACTAAAAATAGTTTTGTGGCTGTTTATGAAAGTGATAGCCACTAGATGGCAGCATTGCAGCTAATTTTATTCATCTATTTTGTTAATCAGGGGGTTGTATGGAGAATTATGGTACCAGCAACTCATACAGTGGTTTGTACAGATAAGCAAATAAAACAAATGACCAGCAGGGGGCACTTAACTTCCTTAACCACCAGGCCATCACTGCCCCGCTGAATCGGTAACGGTTGATATCGCAATCGGAAATTAAGTGTTTGGACAATATCGGCAAGAAGTTAACATCGGACATCGCTAATGTGAACCCATCCCACAACGCTAACAAAACAGACCTTCGCAATCGGAAATAAAGCAAAGACGACAGAGAAAAAATACAAACAAACAAACAAAAAAAACACACAAATATGTACAACTTAACAGAAGGTATGTACTCTTGGTTCGACTCAACCTGACTGACCCTCGCACTGCGGCTCCGACAGGTCTCCTAATAAATCGGGTAAGGTTCGTTCTGATCACGACGGCTGTCAGTTTCCATCTGACGTCGGAATAAAGGCTCGAATTTAGGAATCGAACATATAACAAGATGGGTTTTTTCTGCAGTGGCTCCTGCAGGAGTCGGAGGTAGCTTTACACACAGCTGTGAAAGACAGTGAAACTATGTTGTTTTGCTGTTGGAACTGTATTTTTTTTGGGCCTCAGTGTTGCTTCAATAATTATTAATGCCTCTGTGCCTGCACTTAAGCATAAATGACACAGAAAAGGACATTCATCAAGAGAAAACAACACATTTTTTTTGACTTTCTTTGTGGAGGGTTGAATGTGACACGACACCTCTGTACTGACCAGGTTCAATTAATCCAATAAAACCCGCCAAATTAACTTAAAAAATAAGAAAGTCGTCAACATAAACCCCTTTTTGACAGTTCCACTTCCACTACATCGTCCGTGAGACTCACTCCCAACATCGTACTCTGTCCAGCTCCCAAAATCTGTTCAAGCACCTTTACAAGGACGGACTGGATCAACAACTAGAGTTAAATAGATCATCATCAACATCAATTAAAAACAATGGCTTCGACCCGTCGTAACAATCAACCGTTCAACATGAGGTTTACCACGTTTCCAAAGCTCTGGTTCCTCCCAACATCTGTGGACGTTCCCTTCATCACCTACAACTGAAAAACACTGATGTCGCAGAATATGAGGCGCGGGAAACCGAACCGTCCGCCGTCCTCCAGTGTCACCGTCACTTCAACTCTTCTCCGAGGAAAAAATAAAAAAAAAAAAAAAAAAGGAAGAAGAGGAAAACGGGCCTCAGTCCCACAGTGAGGAGTGGGTCACGACGCTGGGCCTTCCCAGTGCATTTTTGGACTGCTGCAGGTGGAAGACTCGGACCAACGGGAAGGAGGATCCAAATAAATAGACGCACACGTTCTCTCTCTCTCTCACACATACACACACACACACAAACACACACTTTCAGTCCGTATATTCAGCCACAATGGACAGCAGCACCGTGATGTCGTCCGGTTTTCCTCCTGTAAAGAAAAATAAAAATATGTAAAATATTATAATTATAATGTACAGAATTCCTCCTGTAAAGAAAAATAAAAATATAATTATAATGTACAGTAGAGGAACAAACAAACAAACAAACACGACAACGTGTTTCTGTTAAAAACAGAAACATTTAAATGATGAGAATCAGTAAGAATTTAACTTCTCTGATTCCTTTATTAACATGACAGATCAGTTTTATTCTCTTTTTCAATTTTCACTTCAAATAAAACGGTTAAAAAACATGTGGAAATATTATGTAGATTCCATTTCAGCCACAGACTGTCGTGTCTCTCTTTAATGGCAGTGTAACCAGTTTCACCAAGGCACCTTGAACGCACCAGTTCTCTCAGGATTTTCAGACGGAAAAAAAAAAAAAAAAACGGTCTTAATTTTCAAAGTAACTAAAAAAACACCTGGTTCTTCACCATGAACCGTGACATCATCAGTGGGCGTGTCTTACTCGATGTTATAAATATACTAAATCTAAAATAATAATAAAAAAATAAAAAGCGATTGACGGTGAACACGGAAAAAAAGAACGTGCAGTGATCCGTCGCAGAGGAAACCTGCGGACTTCGCTGTAGTTGCGTCTGTAAAAGACACCAGACATACTGGCATACCTATACTTTTGACATACCGTTCATATTCTACGTCTTCTCGCCATCAACAGCTGTTGCACGCCGGACTGTTAGATAAAAAAAAAAAACGATGTCGGAGCAGACGCTCCATACAATCTGCCATTTTGCCGTTGTGTTTGTTTAATGTTGCCATAGTAACGTGGAGGACGTGACCTACGTCGACTTAAACTGGTACGAATGTGGGCTGAGAAAAACACCAGAACTAGAACCAGAACCAGAACCTTGTCTGTCTGAAATCACCCTGAGATTTCATGACACGAAGGTCTGGTCAACTTTAACTTGAACACAAAAAAAAAAAACCCAATATTGATCCTACAGTTTTACTACGTTAAGCCACACCAGAGTCACGGGGTCGTACTTCTTTTTATTTCCCATTTGGTTTTGCTATAAACCAGTCAGACGGTCGGACGACTCCGCTGACGTCGGGCGTTTCTTACCTCGTACATTCAGGCCGTTGTCACAGGCAAACTGTGCGAACGGAGACATGTAGTTGGGATCGTAGGCCAGGTCGTGAGCCTGCTTGGCTATGCTCTGCGCCGTCTGCAGGATGCTGTCGTAGTTGGTCGCCTAAAGCGGAGGACCATGGGAACAAACCGTTATCACATTTACATGAAGTTACAGGAAGTACTACGAGTACTACGAGTACTACGAGTATCTGCAGCGGCGGCACCTTGAGTTTTTTGAGCTCCTGAAGAATCATGTAGTCGGGCATGTTGTCAAAGAGACCGTCGGAGGCCGTCAGGATGATGTCACCCAGCTGCACGTCGAAGGAGGAGCTGTCAGCTGCGAGTACTACGAGTATCTAGAGGAAGAGGAGGAAGAGGAGGAGGAAGAGGAGGAAGAGGAGATCAGTCAGACTAGACCAGAGGTTCGTGACACATGAGCTGCTGTTTCAGCCGGAAGAGTTTCAAACCAAGTGGACGGAGCAGTGTTTGATCTGAGAGCTGAACAGGAAGCTCCGTGTCCTGAGTTTATGGGTTGAATACCATGAAGCAGAGGTGCCCAAATAAGTGGGTCACGATCAAAGAGAGAGAGAGAGAGAGAGAGAGAGAGAGAGAGAGAGAGAGAGCTGGTAGATGATGAGCAACTAACTTTAAAATTTAAAAATAAAATTAAAAATACAGATATTTTAATTAATTAATTTTTTTAATGACCTAAATGAACTAAATTAGTACTAATACTTAAGTGTTGAATCATACTGTGGCACAGCTACGTGTATTTAATCAAAGTACCTCAATGATTTATGTTTAAATCAAGTATATTGAGTTCATATGAGTAAATATATATTTAATATGATCAACCCAGGTAGAATCACTTCAACTGGATATTATTATTGTTGTTATTATTATTATTATTGTTATTATTATTATTATGCCAAATCAAAAAAGTGTGGACACCCCTGCCACAAAGCCTCCTCTGAACGGAAAACACGGCAGCAACAATGTTGACAACATTTAAATGCTGTTGAATTGAAGTGGCTGAAGATTGACAGGCGCAGGAAAAGGATGAGTGAAAGGTTAAACCTCAGGAAAGAGGCTGTCGTTGTTAGCATGAAGTCGTGACACCAGTACAGGCAGCAGGGCTAATGAGGAGTGGTCGCTCCAGATACTGCTAATCTGGGTGTGTGTGTGTGTGTGTGTGTGTGTGTGTGTGTGTGTGTGTGTGTGGAGTGGTAATCTGTCAGATGACGGCAGAAATAATGTCCTGTTCTGTCTTCACGTGAATAAGAAGGGCAGAGACAGAGATAATATAACAGCCTGTGTCTCTCTCTCACACACACACACACACACACACACACGATAAAGCAACCAAAAAAAAACAAAAAAAAACACAACGATGAAGGAACAGCCTGTTTGTCCAAAGTCTCGTTAAGAGCACGATGAGCAAAGAGTTCGTTATCTGTCATCAACAAAACTGAACAGAAAAAAAACAAAAACAAACTTGACCGTGAAGTGAAAACATCACAATCAAATGATGACATAGAACAGATGAACGCGCTAATGCTAATGCTACACATTAGAATGAGCGTGATCGATAAGGAGATCGGGATCGACCGGCGGATTTAACAAAGAGAGTGCTGTTAAATATACACAAATATAATTCTATAGTGTGTAGTAGTGACTGTGTACTGTGAGTACTGAAGTCATACAGACATCAGTAATTAACCAGTACAACCTACATATAATGTATATACAGTGATCCCTTGCTATAACGCGGTTTACTTTTCACGGTTTCGCTACTTCACGGATTTGCATCGTGCATTGTGTTCTGCATTCTGATTGGCTAAAAAGTCACTCCGCTTCTTCTCTACCTGGGCGCCAATAACGTTGCGGTTTAATATGTACACGTACGTAAAACAGCTTGCCAAATTGACAATACGTACGTGCAAATTCTCTTGCAATTTCGAGTTTATCAAACCCCATAATGTCGACAAAACGCGCTGGACCGGCAAAAGTACCTGCGGTAGGGACCAAAAGGCAGCGGAAGATGCTGTCTATCGGTGAGAAAGTCAAACTATTGGACATGCTACATGAAGGTAAAAGCTATGTGGCTGTAGGTCGGCATTATGGAATTAATGAATCTTCCGTTCGTTTGTGAAACAAATGGTTGAGACTGTAAAATGGTTTGTTCGTTCTTTCTCTTCTTTTTCTTAGTATTTAATTGTAAAAAAAATAAAGATTTCTACTTCACGGATTTTGCCTATCACGGGTTCTTTTTGGAACGTAACCCTCGCGAAAAACAAGGGTTTACTGTATACAGTATGTTGTTTAGCTAATTCATGGTTCCATCTTTATATAATAGCTACTGACCTGTCACTGAGTACCACCCCTTCAACACCAGGGGGAGCTATGGACAGCTGGAAGGGTGTGTTAAAGTAGTGCTGCTGCTCGTCCGAGCGATGGACCACCTCTCCTTCACGAACCACCAGGAACCCAGAGTCGCCCAGGTTACAGGTGTGCAGCCGGTGACTCCGTCGGTCCAGGACCACGATGCAGGCGGTGCTGCTGCCTGGAAGAAAAGGACGGAGATTTAAAGTCACTGGTGTTGGAGGAGTAGTAAGAAATAAAACAAAAAAAGAAAAACAATCTTCAAACAGAGCTGTTATCTGACAGACATGCTAACAGGTAGCAACTGGTTTTAGGAAGAAGTCGGCTACGAAATGCTGCTAAACTAGTCCTGACGTGCGGCCTTTGTTTACACGCTGCCTGAACAGAAATGAGACAAACACTGTTTTTTTTTGTTATGTCCCAAACCCTCAGTGACTGCAGCTCCAGAGGCCGACGGCTCCAGTAACCCTGAACGGACCGAGGTCAAACACAGACCGTGGCCCTGATCCCAAAAATAAAAGCAGACCTTTAGATAAACTTAGCCACTAGGGGAGGAGGTCACCACCGGCTGTGGGTGGGAGGCACTGAGGTTCAGTGGAAAGGTGACCTGCGGCCCATGTGACTGTCTGAGGTCAGACATTCAAAAGGTGTCGAGTTCACAGAGCGACGCCGCAGATGCACTTTGGGGAGGGGTCGAGGGTGGGGGGGGCAACTGTTGAGCATCACTAGGTCACAAAGGCTCCACTCTCAGGTGGTGGTGTAACATTACACACGTTAGCTCATGTGATGGGTGTAGCATAACTCTGTGGGGGGGCCACGTGTGTCACATGGATGTTTTTTTTTTTTCGTGTTAAATATCACGTTTGAAATACATTTTAAAACAACTGACATGTTTAAAGAATAGTTCAATTAAATGAACTAACTATATTACTTTGATATTAAGGGACGTCCAAACATTTAATTTCTGACACCAATATCAACCAGCACTGATTTAGTCCTGGTAATGTTGATTTGTTTTTAATCAGTACAAAGTCAAACACTTTATTGTTTATTATTACAATAGATTAATTAAATGGGCTGCAATGCTGCCACCTAGTGACTTTCCCTTTAATTTACAACCGTTAAACCCCAAAACTATTTTTAGGGCACACATCACTTGGCCAAAACCCAGACATTGCGTTATCAGGTTTTCATTTTTATGGAGAAAAAAACCCAATAACGATTCTTACAGCTATTACATAATTATGCTAATATCGTACATCCCGAGTAATTTTCTTTTCTTTTGGTTACGCCCGTCTTCACTGTTAAGTCAAATGTACCATTTGCTGAATACGTTTGAAGCTTCCGATAGGCTAACCTATTTATTTATATTTTTTTTCTTTCGTTTTTTTTTTTGTCGGCTTTTAGCTTTCAATGTAGCTACCATTTTGTCATCTTCCGGGCTAACGTTTGCTTACCGACCTACTGTTGGATTTATTTCCTGACTTCTATCTCCTACTGCAGTTGTCGACCAGTTCAGTTGCCGTTCTTCTTCCTTCACGTTTCCCTCCGTTTGTTATCCACCTTCATTTTCCTATCGTGACTGACTCATACTGTAACTATGTTATTTTGGCATTAATGTACACAGGGGAAGCATGACTCACTCAAACCACAGTCTGTGTATGTGTGTGTGTGTGTGTGTGTGTGTGAGCCCGGTCGACGGCACTCACCGAGCAGCGGGACTTTGTTCTGTAGAAGCTCGTAGTAGCCCGAGGTCAGGATGCCCACTGGGTAGGTGGGAGTGAAGCGCCCCTCTTTGACCAGCCGCTCACAGGTCTTCATTAAAGTGGCAGAAAACTGAGAAGGATCAACACCATAGTCCCGCCAACCGCCGACGCCGTCAGCCACACCTGACGGAGAAAAATGAACAAAATGTTGTTGTTGTTGTTGTACTCAAGACATGCCACTGAGTCCTGCCACTGAGTACTGCCACTGAGTACTGCCACTGAGTACTGCCAGTACACAGTATGGGTCATGAATATCTAATATCTGGCTATAAGAGTATACAGTTGAAGGTTGTTCAAATATTGACATCTTTGTTACATCAGTTTAATATTTACTTGACATTCTGGAGTTACCACATTATGTCATTATTTTGTCACGAGGTCAAATAAACACTTGTCACATGTCAGTGCTAGTATTAGATGGAATGTTTTTTTTTTATTTCCTGGACGATATTTCAAGTAGGTAAATTGATTAATTTTTAAATCTAAAGAACTCAGTTAAAGCACGACTACACGTGTATTTAAAAAAATAAGTAGTCTACAGATTACTGAGTGTAGTTAAATTATTTTCCACCATCTTCAGCAGCTGCAGAAAAAAAATACACGGCGAGTTCTACAGTCTTATAACAAGTGAAGCCCGGAGAAGTGGCTGGTTTTCTTTTTTTTTTTAAACGTCATTCACATAATTAATTTACGGGTAATTTATGTGGCTAACGTTGATAAATATCACCAAACTCTGTTTTATGGTGTTGACAGACACCTTCGTAAGTCGAGTGTTGGCCTGTGTTTACCCTGTTTGCTGAGGACAAAGCAGCTAAAGCTACAGTTGCTAACGAAGCTGTTAGCAACATGGCCGCCTCCATGCTCAACCATTCTGACCTTTGCAAGACATTGCATTTTAAACTCTCCGATGCCGCCAGTTGGTCTCATTCTGTATGTTCTACCTCCACCGACACGTCAAGGTTTAGATGTGTTCGCGATCTTACGTTTGCGCCTTGTTTTTTTGCACTTTGGGCTAATCTAGGTGAAAGGTCACGAGCAGTTTTTCTTCATAAACCAACCCATTAAACCAAGAAGATCTGCATTTAAATCAAAGAGAGTGTAAAAAAAATACATATGGCTGTCATCTGCTCTACTGTAATTTAGTTTATCTTGACAGGTTAAAAAAAACAACAACTCGTGGGTGTGTGTTCCAGGTGGGGAGGGGGTTGTGTTTTCATCCGAGTGGTCTGCACACGTGCACCCAGTGAAGGTCACCCGAGCACCGAGGGTGTGTTTACGCACACAGTCACAGAGAGAACCAGCATCAGGTGAACACTTACCTAAGACATCCGCAGTCCTGTGTCGAGCGATGAAGCAGGCGTCATCGCCGTAGCACATCCCTTTCTTCAGGATCCCCTTGCGAAAGTCTTTGCCGAAGCCGTAGCTGGCGGTGATCAGGCTGTAGTCCCGACCGTCCGTCTGGGACAGTCCGCCCAGGACAGCCCTGGCTACCAGTCTGCCATACGACAATACGGATAACATTCCCCGGCTGAGAGCGGCCCCGTCCTGATCGGAGCCCCACACACACACCCCCGCCGCCCCCGCCCCCGCCGCCC